TAAGTATATAACTTTAATAAAGACACACTTTTTATAACTATTATTATCCAATTTACTTATTGTGCTTTATGTAGTTTGTAAATTGTAAATATAGCTTTTAAAAAATAAAATAAGTAAAAGACACTTATATTAGTCATTAGTAAAAAAAAAAAAACTGTAAAAAAATTGTATATATCAGTAGGCTTAGATAGCTATTCTAGCTAGGAATGCCTTAATTAACAAAAATAATAATAATAAAAAAAAAGTCATTAGTATTTTGTGTAAATAACATTAGATAAAGAATATTAGAGATGCAGTTTTATCAAAAATTATATTTTCAGTTTTATTTTGGTTGAGGTTTAATTTAATTACAGGGATAATATTACTTAGCATTTTAGACATTTAAACAGTTATAAAAGTTTCTACATTTCAATTTTAAAAACAGTACTTTTTAAATTATGTACTATTGACTAATGGATTAATATATAAATATTTAATGCTATAATGTAATTGGTTTAACAAAAAATTCATGGAATATTACAATAAATTATGGGGTATAATAATAAAACAAATAAAAATTGCTACTTATATACCAAAGATAGTATTGAACTCTTCTAWATGCAAACATTTTTATTAACCTTCAGTTCTAAAAAATTAAAGCAAATGGACCATAGCATTTGCACAAATGTACATGACCATAATAGTGGCCCACAGTGAACGCAACAAAATAATTAATTACATTTTTAACATATTTATTAAATTGATATTTTAATAGTAATTATATTTAGTTCCAAAATAAGTTAATAATTCCCATAGTAAGAAAGTGTATAGTGCAACACAATACATAATGTACCATAGGTATAATATAATATGACTTATACATCATAAACAAACAAAAAAATTTAATTAAAATGTGCATACAAGTGGTACATGGTTAAATTGTAAATAATTAAAACTAAAATTAAATTAACAATAAATACATTCTTAAATAAACAACGATTGGAATAATTCATATACATATTAAGATAAGTTTTTAGTAAAGAAAATGTAAATTTTTCAAAAAATAACAACATACAACCAAATAACAGAACATCTAAGAATGTTGAAATATTTTAGTACAATGATAATTATTATGGTTTATTTAAGCTTAAAAATATATCATTTATAACACAGAAACAAAAATTAGTATTTATAATCTTATGAAAATTATAAAATTTAAAAATAAATCTATTGGAATAGTAAGATGTTAAAACAGTATAATCAATCTAATGACAACATGCTAGAGTGGAATAAGTATGAATACCTGTTATTGTAGTTAACATTTAACGAAATGATAACATTTATAAAAAATAATTGTACATTATAAAAAAAATTAATATTTTCCGTAACATTTTGATTTACACAAGGAATTTGGAAAAAAACACAATTACAACCATTTTTTAACATTGTATTTATATATATTAATTCCAATTAAGAAATTATAGCTGTAAAAATATGTTTAATAATTCATGAGAAACGGGTTCTAGCGACACTATCTTGGGCGATGCCTGACCGTAGCAAACAATAATGACCGAGGCCAACCGCCAGGCTCCAAACAATATTATAGAAATAAATATCTATAAAGTCTTCAAAATAATRACTTATTTTTAAACTCAAAATTAGACACTAATTTAAATGATGAATTAAAACATTTTTTTTAATTTAGAATAAACTCAATAATATTGATTAATGCCTAGACAAGTTTTATGATTAATATTCAATTATTGACTAATAAATTAAATATTTCAAAATTATATTGTTATGCCTTACAAAGCAAACATGGTATCACCTTGTTTTTCTTTGCTACGTCTTGATTCATTATCATTATTTCCTGTGGTTAAATGTTCAGCAGCTGCTGCTCTTTCTGCTAAGAATCTCTCAAATTCACTGCTTGATAGAGATTCTTCGATTTCAACACCTGGTGCTGCAGAATTCCCCGGCTAAAAATTAAATAAAAATATAGTTATTTAAATAAATACATAAGTACATTAATATTGGACAGAAAAAATATTAATATTTTGTTTTATTAAACTTAATTTAAGACTAAGTAATACCTAGTTAATAAGACTGTTATGTTTAAGATAAAATAAAATCATTAAGATAGAATAATGATGTTTTTTTTTTATAAAAATATCATTATACTCATTATTCAAAAATAAATATACTCATCAGTGCTAAACAAGTTGCTTTWAATTAAAATCTTATAATTTTCATACAATTAATATAATTCTATAAAATTTACTAACAAATATAATATTAACGCATATTATTTATTATAATACTTACATTTTCACTGAGCCAAGCTGCTATTTCATCAAAATCTTGTTCACTATGCATCTGAAATATTAAAAAGAAAAAATATATTTTTAAATAATAAACAAAATAATTATGAAATAAATGGTTAGAAATATTTAAAATAAAAGAAAAAAGCTTTGAAAAATTTAGTTAATTACTTAAAACGTTTAATAAGTACATCAATTTGCAATAAAATTAATGTATTAAATAATAAAATTAATTATAAATAACTATTAATTAGTAGATGCACAAGTCAATCAAATTAGAAGCAATTTTTTTAGATGTGTGCTTAAACTTGATTATAGAAGACATCAATATTGTGTATTGTGTTTATTTCTAAAAGTATAATTAATTGCATTAGGTAACTAAACATACCATACCAACATAGCAATTAACTGTATTAAAATATTTTAGGGGAAATTTCTTATTTTATGTTAACTTTAATTATTATTGATCAAAATATATATCACATACATATTCTTCTAATTATGTTATACTGGTAGTATTTGGTGATTATTAATTAGAACTGAAACGCAAAAATTTAACTAAAAAAAAATATCATGCATTTTAATTTACAMTGCATGTAAAGGTACAAACATTGATGATGCATAATCATAAAATAATTATAATAAATAATGGTTTTAATTTTTGCATTGTATATAAATGATAATATAATAAAATTACTCATATATTATGACAAGCAAGTAATGTTAAAACATATTATCAGGGCATAATTTCATCTTATAAATAATGTACTCTTACCCTGATGACATCTTCATGAGCACAATCCTAAGGTCAGAACCCACACAATACACACACAAATATTACTAACACRATAACAATTGCTTTATACAAACGTGATTTCAATTATAAAGGATATAATAATATATGAATAATATAATCTATTAATTTAATACATTTAAAAACAATATGGATTATATCATTAAAATATGACACTTGAGGTGGATACTTACATCTTTTGTTGTCACATTTTGTGATCGAGCTTGAGTCAAAGAAGCTAAGCTGTTGACTTGATCTGGCTTTAGATTGGCATCATAACTACTTCCACTAAATAATTGATAAAATTACTTTAATTTCTATGTTCAGTAAAAAAATATTAACTTTTTATGATTAATCAAATATTATTATTACCCAACTTTTGTATTTTCATATGATACTGATCGAGATTGAGCAAACATATCAAAGTCATCTGTATGAATACTAGTAAGCAAATCTGCAGGAAGATTCTGTTTAGGCTTTTCATTATTAACACCTAAAAAGTAAATATTTCATAAATAGTTTTATTTGTATATTTTAATTTTTCAGGAAGAGTTATAAAAATGAACTGTTGCRCTATCATTTGTAGTGATATAACTAGATATTTGTGTTGTGGGTACCCAAATATTCAATCTAAAACGTTCCTTTAAAAAAGTAATGTAGTAAGAATAAAATATGTTTTTTGCCTATTAGATTATGTTTTAGAATCTACACCTCTATGTGTTGTYACTAAATCAGGTACATTTTCATTATAATTGATAGAGGAGTAGTAAATTAGGATTTAAACTTTATGATATTGTATTAAATTTTTTTATAATTACTCAGTTTTGAAAATTGGTTTGAAGTTGTAGCAATTGGCTCATCAATAAAACCTTGGAGTAAATCAGTTGTTTTTATAGATGGACCATCCACAGAGCTACATTCCGCTTCTCTATTCTTTTCATATCTGCTATAACTATTTTACACAATACAAACTTGTAAATAAATGCAATGTTTTTTGAAATATTGAGTAGTATAAAAGCTAACCGTAGAAAAAGATTGTTTAAATCATCATTGACTTGTAAGAGCTGTTCAGTAAGTTCACCATCTGATAATTTAGCAAGGAGTTCAACAATTCTTTCTTGCATTGCTTTACACGTAGTATATAAATCCTAAAAATATTTTTATTGTTTAGTAATCATATCAAAAATTGATCAGTTCTGTTCGGAAACATCTAGTTTATATTGTTTTTAAAGTAAATAGATTTTAGATATCATATTTTTAAATAATATTCATATTAAATATATCCATAATATTATAGAAAATTCTTCATCCACTTAACACATATACCGTGTATCATATTTTAGTATATGATGCAAAAAAATTGGGATTTAAAAAAATTATGTAATTAAAACATCAATGYACACTTAACATGTTATTGATAAAATATACTTATAGAAGACACCAACAAAAACGAAGATTTTAATTGTAATGCTAACTAAATTGTAGTGCATTTATTAAAAAGTTAGAGTACCAATTGGCATCAATTAGAGCATTTAAAATAGTGAATGATAAAAATTAAGTTGTTTGGCATCATCCACAGTCGTCAGTCCTTACAAAAGTAGAACATTCAATCTGAATACAGAAGATCTAATTACGTGTTAGCAATTTGAGCAATTATCAAATTATAAAGTAAGTATATGTGTTCTCTTTTTGGGTTTTTTATATTTTAACCAATACATAAGTTACGAATATGTAAAATTTAAGAATTCTCATAACTCGCTTATAAATTAAATCATTATAAAAACTAATGACAGAATACAGATAATGATTTAATAATGGAATATTTCACTTTAATATAAAAGCCAACAACACAAAATTGGAACACCTGCACGAAAATTTGCTSTTATTTGTTTTTAAGACCAGCATGAAATTCTCTAAATGCTGATAGTTTAAAAAWTTTGTGAATGTTAGTTGATGAAATAGTTACAGTTAAAAGTTGAACATCTGATTCATCTTCTTTTCCTGGTACCAATTCTGAGAGCATTTCATTCAACACCGTCATATTACCACGAACTAACTCCAAATCAGAATTCAGTTTATTTAGTTGATCTTGTCTGTTTGACCTACTGTTTGTTTGATCATTTGAATGTGAACAGATTGCTGGTTTGAGCTCTTCAGAATAACTCTATGGAAAATTATAATATGAATTTAATAAAAATTTAATTTATATTTGTACAAAACTTACTTTATGAGGTGTATGTATTGGGGCCATAGTATCAAGATTTGTCATAGGAAATTCAATTCCTTTTTGACGAAGTTCTCTATATACAAGATAAACTCCTTGTAGATCAGGTTGATTACGAAATGCATCTGCCCAACTTTGAATAAGACTTAACACTTTTTCTTGAACAATGGTAGGTGGATCATTTTTTGGGCCTAAATTAATATATAGTGTATAATTTATAACAAATAATGTTTAAATAGTTTGCTTACCAATTAGCTTAATTAAATCTTGAGAAAATTCTTTGTTACAAACTAAAACGTGGAATCGTCTACCACAATTTTTCACACATGTTTCCAAAACCTAATTAGTCAAATAATGTAAAYAATTAAAATCTATAGTTAGTTATAATACTTATTACTTACTGTCAAGGTATACATGATAATTTTATGATTTTTTCCTGCATTTTGAAGCAATCTTTTACGAATTGCTTTAATTGCATCTTTAGGTCCTTCTTCTGTGTCATTAATCATATCACAAATTTCCATATTAAGTGACCAATTTTCAGAAGCCAAGCCTCCATCAGTTGCTAATTCTATTGATAAAAACAAACATAATATTACAATTTATTATAAATTATTTGATACTATTAAAAAAGAAATATTTAATAATTGTAATACAAAGTTGAATTAATGTACCTAAAATAAAACTTACAAACAAGATTAACAATAGAACAAGATATTTTGTTCTAATTTGATATCTTATATTATATTAGAGTGAATTGACTATTATAAGAGTTCAAGGAAAGAAATTAATTTGGACATCTCATGATTTTTTTAATTTAAATTTTCACCAAACAATGAGCATTTAAAATTCTACATGTTAAGCAATAAACATCACCTTAAATATCTGGTTAACAGGAATCTCAATTTATTAAGCATTATTAYATAATACATTAATAATAATAATAATATTAACTGAATAGGTACATAGTTGGATAAGAATATAGATGTAGCTATTGAAGATTATTGATATTTAGTTATGGTTTATGGTAAATATTAATCAAATATATTTTTCCATATTCACAACATTTAAAAGCACTCAAAAATCACGACATTTTTGTATTATTGTTTATTTTAGATGTAATAAGAAAATGCTATGAAATATGAATACAAAATGGTTAGATTTTATTTTATATTGCTGATGCAAAAACAATACCACCCACTCAAAATAAATAAATAAATAATTTTACTAATAATATTTTTACACTTTCTACTATTAGTTATTAATTATATGCACTTTTAAATATTATTTTGAATCATCAAAAGTATGAAAAGGTTTTTAAGACTAATCTTAAACATAATTATTTAATATTTTATTACCGTATACATTTGTCATAGATGTGACGACAAAAATTATTTTTAAATAAAATCAATTGAAATTATCAATATGGTGTGCAAAAGCACTGTAGATGAAAACAGAAACTCACCAATTTTTTCACCTACAGGCGTTGAAAAAGGATTCAACGATACACCAAATATCGTAGCCATTATCTTTTTTGTAGTACGTATACGTTTAGGTAAAGTAAATAGTATAAAACACAACTAAGTATTAATGGGTAAAGGGTACTTTACTACTACAGTAATAAATAATAATTAGTTAATAGTAAATCCAATTTATAAATCAAAACAGGTGTAATGTATTATGTATGGTATAGACTATTGTAGGGTATAGGTAGATACTAGATTGTAGGTAAATAAGATAAACATTAAACAAATTTTGTCCAACCAAAACAGAATGTTAAAAAGTTATAATTGGTTCTTAAAATGTGTGATTATTTTCATTTATTGACAAGTGACAACAGTTGCTACAGTGTTTCCAACATCAGCACTATACAGTAGGCACCGACTAATCCACGGTTTTGTTCTAACAAGAACGTACGTTAGTACGTTACTCGTTAGTAACTTCAAACTTTATGACGTTCTCAGATTCGGCATTTCAACAAATCACAAATGGGAATTTGCCGTAGCGGCATAGCTTGCAAATCGTAGTATTGTAGAGTGTAGACATCATTTAATTTAATGCGTGTTCAATTTTAATTATTTATTGTTTTTTACTTAGTGGTTTGAGGTATAACAATTGGATTCAAACTTTACTCGCTTTACATGTAAGTAGTACATTTTTTTTTAGATTCCCTAATTGTAAAGTTTCAGTCTTAAGTTTAAGGTTGTTTTGTTGTTGTTAGTTGTCGGCTTTACATGTTAACATTGTAAACGCAAAAAAAAAAAATCATCAAAATGGCACATTACAAAGGAGCTGCCAGTGAAGCTGGYCGTGCTATGCAATTGATGAAAAAACGAGAGCTTGCCCAAGCCGAAATAGAGTTACGCAAGAAAAAAATTGAAGAAGAAATGAAACTGTCAAATATTGAAAATAAGTTCGCTAAACATTATGATTCGTTGGAGGCACAACTTAAAAGCTCGACTATTGGTTTAGTAACTTTAGATGAAATGAAAGCTAAACAAGAGACAGTTGTGCAAGAAAGAGCTAAGAGATTAGTACAAAAAGAAAAAGAAGTGGAATTTGAAAAGCAAAGACAATTAGAGGCAAAACTAGAAGAAAAACGAAGACAACAACAGAAGATAAAAGCATTGTCATTTATTGAGGATATGCCTGAAGAAAGTGATGTGGAAGAAGAAGTTGAAGAAGAAGCAGAAGAAGAGTCTACCTTTCAACCTTTACCTAAAAAAATCAAAAAAAATCCAGATGTAGATACTAGCTTTTTACCAGATCGTGCTAGAGAATCTGAAGAGAATTGTTTACGAGAAAAATTAAGACAAGAATGGACTGATAAACAAAAATGCTTAAAAGAAGAAGAAATCAGTATTACATTCAGTTACTGGGATGGTTCAGGTCATAGACGTACAATTGTTATGAAAAAGGGTAATACAATCTATCAATTTTTACAGAAAGCACTAGAACAATTACGTCGAGAATTTGGAGAGCTTAAAACCATAATGGCTGACCAATTAATGTATGTAAAAGAAGATTTGATATTACCACACCATTATTCTTTTTATGATTTTATTGTTGCTAAAGCAAGAGGTAAAAGTGGTCCACTGTTCACATTTGGTGTTCATGATGATATTCGAATGGTTAGTGATGCTAGTTTAGAGAAAGAAGACTCACATGCAGGAAAAGTATTATTGAGAAATTGGTATGAAAGAAACAAACACATTTTTCCTGCTAGTCGATGGGAACCATTTGATCCTTTAAAGACGTTTGCCAAATACACAATTAAAGACAAAACACAGAAACATGAAGCAACACAAAAAAACTAAAATTTAAATTAAATTRAATTGTAATATAAAATATGTAAATTAAAAAATTAAACAGTTTTATCAAATGGCTTCTTTGTTTTGATGTTTCAGGTATTAAAATCGGAATAAAATACAAAAACAAGATTTTTGCAACTAGAACGTTTGGTCCCAGGTTTGTAAAAAAAAATGATTTTGCTCCACTTATTCTTAGTGGCAATTACTATTTCTACTTCTTTTTCAATTGAAGTGAATCCTAAAATATTTATAAACAATGCTGAATGCTTAGTAGATTTAAGCACCCAATTAGTCAAAGGAGAATGTCGCATATCTTTGGAAAATAATGATGATAAACCTGTGAACTCTATTTTGTATGCATTTGAACCTTCAATTAAAAGTCACATTTCATTTATTTCTGCTCATCAAGTATTTGAATCTAATCGTTTGAGTTTAAATGTTAAACCAGTGACTTTATCAGGACATGAAGATAAGCAATTATATCAAATTGATTTTAATGTATCTCGACCATTGCGATCTAAAGGTCGAGCATCACTTGTGGTTGAATATGTTTTGACTAACGCTTTGTATCCTCATCCTGAAGAAATAACTCAAAAAGATAGACAGTTGATGATGTTTTATGGAAATGCTTATTTGTATTCACCATACAWAAGTCTTAAATCTTCTGTTAAATTCCAAACTGGAACTAGACGAATAGAAGATTACACCAATATCAGCCCGGTTTCATTGAGCTCTGGAGATATTGTTTATGGGCCCTTTGGTTCACTAGAACCATTTTCATATTCCCAAATCAGCTTACATTATGATAATAATACTCCATTTTTGAAAGCTACAAAATTAACTAGAACTATTGAATTATCCCATTGGGGTAATGTTGCTGTTACTGATGTTATTGACCTTATTCATCATGGTGCTAAATTAAAAGGTTCATTTTCTCGTTATGATTACCAACGTGAAACTAATAGTGGGATATCCAGTGTAAAATCATTCAAAATGTACCTTCCAGCTTCAGCAAATAGTGTTTATTACAGAGATGTTATTGGTAACATATCTACATCAAATCAGAGAACACTTTTAGACTCAGTTGAGTTGGATATTCGTCCAAGATTCCCTCTATTTGGTGGTTGGAAAACTCATTATACAATTGGTTATAATGTTCCAGCTTACGAATATTTATACAACAGCGGTGAAGATTACTTGTTGAAGATGCGTCTAATTGATCATTTATATGATAATATGATAATCGAAGACGTAACAGTATGTATTATTCTTCCTGAAGGATCAGTAGACTTAGATCTAAAAACAGCCCATCCAATTGTGCGTTTACCAGATGGCTTACACTACACATACTTGGATACCATAGGCAGACCAATAATAAAATTACAAATGTCGAATATTGTAGAAAGTCACATTAGTGATTTTGAATTAAAATACAAATTCCCAAAAGCCTTTATGTTCCATGAACCATTGATTGTAATTKTTGCTATTTACATTTTGTTTTTGACTGTAATTATTTGGGTTCGATTGGACTTCTCAATAGCCAAGGATGGACATAGTGAAACACGCCAACGTATATCTGGAATAACAAGTGCAATTATGCATCATTTTGATCGTAGGTCTTCTATTTATAGCTCTTGGGATGAAGCTTTGAATAAATTAAAACATTCCAAAGACATTGGTACATATAATACAGCATCAAAACAAATTCAGACTGATTATAAAAATGAAACTACTAGCATCAATGAATTAGCTACTAAGTTAAAAACCGAATCAACAGAATTATCAGACAAATTGAATGAAGTACAAAAGGCAGAAAAAAATTTAAAAGAACTTTTTGGACAAACACAATCCTTATACACTGAAAAGCTTATAACGGGTAAGGTTGGAAGAAATCAGTTTGTTGAATTGGATAGCGGTTTAAAACGAAAAAAAGACGAATGCCAAGAAAAAATCAATCAATTGTTAAAATCTTTGAATTAATTAAGTCGTGTGTATTTCAATTAATTGTTCAAGTCATAAAATTGTCTTTTCATAAATCTCTTAAAATTGGGTTTATGTAATTAATGTCACTGTCAAAAAAATGCATATTATATTCTTTGCTGCACATTTGTTTGTAATATTATATTGGTTTTAAAATTATATCTACTTAAAATACAAAATAAACATATTTTATTTATGTAMAAACATAATTTTGAAATTTATATTTCAACTAATTTTATATATCACTGGGTTATAAATATTTGGAATTTATAACTAAATTCCTTTCAAATTAGATTTATAGTTTTATTCAATAAACAGTATTTGTTTAAGAAATTGTTATGTTCAATTTAAATACTTAAAGAGTAATAAGTAGGGGTTTTCTTCTGTTGACTGATTATTTGCTTATATTCTTTTAAATAATTCTAGAATGGTAAATTACATATTATTAGTAAATTAAATTATATCCATCATATTTAGTGTGTATACGTTTGCATGAATATAAACAAATTATAAGATTTTATTCGACTTGTAGCTCTTTTAGTTGTCATTAAAACCATAAGTTTTTTTAAACCACTGTACTTTTATTATTATTTGTTGAACTGATTAATAATTATCTTTKTATGTATTTTATTTTTATTACAATACATTTTAATATATTTCCTTTAACCTATCTATCCTTTAAATAAATGTTACTTATGAAACATATAATTAAAGTTTCAAGATATTCAAATGAATTAAACGGCTAGACTGTCACACATAGAAATCGGACATTCCCAATGAAACCTTTGTCATAGAAATAAAGGATCTATATTGTACAATCATGAATTAAGTAATTGGTACATACTTACTTGCAATGATTAAGCGTAGGAAGTGTGGCTCTCTTATTATGCCGCCAGAGAAGAGAATCTACTTCCTGGATGCAGGAAGAAACCTTTTGATCAGGCTGCCAACCTCTCGCTGGTCAGTACTCTTGTGTCGTCCCTTCAATGAGGGATGTACCTACATGAGCACCAATTACAACAGTAACAATAATCTCCCTATACCAAATCCTGCAAGCTACAACACGTCTCCTTATGACAAGCAATAATCAGTAAGTTTAATTATTTTGATTCGAGTATTTTAATTAATAGGTACTTTTTGTCACCTAATACTGCTACAAGTCAGGTAAGTCAATGCAATATTTATATGTAAATAATATTACATGTGTAAAAGAGTAAAAGACACAAGTTGGATGA